AAGGTGAGGGTCTATTAACATGAACCGAATAGTAGGGTCGTTCAAGCAAGTCCAAGGGCAAGAAAAGCAATGGGAGAAATCCTAAATTCAAGGACAATGAAAGGTGCTTCAAGTGTGGGTGAACGGACCATTGGAAATAGGATTGTCCGGTATGGAAGGAGAAGTGGAACAAGATGAAGAATGCCGAAAGTTCAAGAGCAGCCAATGACAAACTTTTGACGGTTACGAAAGAGGAGTGTAACGGGGACGTCGTGGCAAGTTCTTTGGATATGGGTTCTACTTTAGTTTGGATTTTAGATTCCGGATGCTCTTATAATTTGTGTTCAAATAAGAGTATATTTGATACATATGAGAAAGGAAGGGTAGCCATATTCTGTTGGGAGACAAAACAAGTTGTGATGTTTTGGGCTTGGGAACAGTGAAGATCAAGATGCAAGATGGTGTTGTTAGGAGCCTTACTGAGGTAAGGCATGTATCGGCACTAAGAAAGAATCTTATTTTCCTTGGTGCTCTAGATAGAGAAAGGGTATTCATACAAGGGGAAAGAATGGAAGCTTTTAGTCACATAAGGTTCAGTGGTGATTATGAGGGGGAAGATTTAACCTAACAATGTTTATAAGCTTTTGGGGGGTAAAATTGTAGGTGGAACAAAAAATTCTACCAAGAAGGCGCTTGTACCAAAGAAAAATGGGCAAGGGATCTTACTATCAAAGAGCCAATGCAACGGAATTAAGCTACTGGTTTGCTCAAGACTAGTTGGGCAAAGAAGGTTAATCAAGGTTGTATGATTACCAGTTTATCATTAAGAGTGCTTGATTTCATAGTGGTTTAGGCTTCAACTTGTGTAAGCATGTGTGGTTGTATTTTAAGTGTTTTATTGTTTCGTTTGAATTTTTGTTTGGTTTTTGTAATTTTTGTCATTATATTTTTTTTTCTAAACCATGTAGTATTTTAATTCTTGTATGTTGTGATCTTTATTTGCTTTAGTCCCTTTCATTTCTTGTTATAACATTGCCTATGCCTAATTTTTCAACATTGAGGACAATGTTAATTTCTAAGTTTGGGAAGGGATATCAAGTCATTTTCGTTTCACGTAATTTCTTGCTTTGTTTTGTTTTTCTTGCATTATTTTGTTTTTGTTTTGTTTTCAGTTTCGAGTCTTTTTTTTTTCTTACGAGTCACTTTCCGAACACATATGATGAGATTGTGATGAATGTTTGCATGAGTTGATTGAAAATTAGAAGAAAAAAAAAATTATTATTCACTTAATGGCATCTTTCTAGCATGATATGTTTGAAACCTTCTATGCATTTGCCATGTGTTTCATAATTCTCCAATTGAAGGATTTGCATGATCCAAAGAATTGTATCAAGCATGAATTAGACTTGTATAACTATATAATATGAGCTTTTGAGCCTTGTGCTTCAATTCATGAGTGTTATACACATATTCTTATTTTCTTCTCATCCAAGTTGTTGTTTGATCTCATTATTCATTGATTTGGTTGAGCACTTAAAAGTCATTCATTCTCATGCAATTTGATTATATGACATTTAAGAAATGATATTAAGGCCCTCTTTGGATCGTTTGTGCCATTCAAGCTAACTTTGTGCATACTTAAGCATGATGTTCCATTGTTAACCACTTTGAGCCTACATGTGTTATACACATATTCTTATTTTCTTCTCATCCAAGTTGTTGTTTGATCTCATTATTCATTGATTTGGTTGAGCACTTAAAAGTCATTCATTCTCATGCAATTTGATTATATGACATTTAAGAAATGATATTAAGGCCCTCTTTGGATCGTTTGTGCCATTCAAGCTAACCTTGTGCATACTTAAGCATGATGTTCCATTGTTAACCACTTTGAGCCTACATGTAAGTCTTTTCTTTCATTTAGCCAATTATACTTCCTCGCCTTAGCCTGAAAAACAAGAATCTACCTTTCTAGGGAACTCTTGAGCTTTAATTTGGATGTGTTTTTCATGCTAAGTTTGGGAAGGAGTGTTACATATTGAAAAACAAAAACAAAAACAAAAGAAATTCACTAAATTGGTGAAAGAAAAGAGAAAATTTGTGGTCAAGTGGCAATGGATTGAAACTTCATTTCCAAGTTTCTTTATTGGCTCTAAAAAAAAATTGATGGTTGTTCAAATGGAAGAAAAGAGTGAATCAAAATAAATGAAGGTATAAGGCTTCTTATGTTTATTATTGAATAATGCATTGTAACCCTTTTCCGAGTGATTCATTTGTGAGAGGACAACTTTGGTGAGATTTGAAGTTACATTTGTGTTTGGTATGATTTTCGAAGTTGTGTGAAAACTGAAATTAGGGAATGAGTTGCATTTGGCTATCACACTACTACACTTTGAGCATGTTGTGCTTTGAATATTACCGCCTTGTGAATGAGGTCTAAACTGAGCTTTTCTTGTGAAAACTTTTGAGTCATGTGCATTAATTGTTTTCCCTTCGGAAAATGTTTGGAAGGTTTGTTTCGAGTCTTGTTTTAGTTTTAGTTTTTCTGGAGGACTAGCAAAAGATAAGTTTGGGAAGTTTGTTGGGTTCAATTTTATACATGATTTATCATGTCATTCACCCAATATTTTGAGTTAGTTCTTGACATTTAATAGCTTTTTACTTCTTTTTTATGTTTTTATAGATTTTACCTTGGTTAGAATGAAAGTGAGCTAAAAGTGCATTATTGAATGTAAATTATGTTTTTGCTCATTTTCGTAGGTCAACTTCCTAGTTGTGGATCACCATGCTCCGTTGCTCGGATGCATTAAAGTTCTTCCTGAAACTTGTTCCAATGGGTGTCGACTACAACATATCTGAAATTTAGCTCCACTGAACAAGCATAACCTCCCTAACCGATCCAGCATTTATACTAACTTTTAGCCCACTTTTGGTATCATCTCCCCTTTTAATTGTTACCACACCTCTTGGTAACAATTAATTACATTGTAGAGATTTGATTTCAGATTAGTAATAAATTAGAATCTCTCTGTATATATTAAAACCAAAATGAAATGATGAAGTGAAAACAAGTGGAGAGAAGGGCCAAAGAACTTTGGGTGAAAGGTGAAGCATCCTATGAAGTAATGAGTAGGAAGAGGGTATCTAAGGGGCAGCAGCCAAGGCAAAAACTGATCATTCTCTATACTTTGCAATTTCAGATTTTTGAAGGAGGACGAGAGCAAGGAGCAACCAAGGAGAGGGGAGAATGGCATAACAATTGGAGAGAATCTTGGGGAGCCTTGAGGCAAGGATCCAAGGGGTTGAAGATGCAATTCTCTTTCTCATCCTTGTTCTTAGTTTCTTTCATTTTATTTCTTTCTTGTATTTTCTTAGTTTCAATGTAGCTTCTTATTTTAAGCCCTAAACATGATTACACTTTTGTTTTGATGCTTTGAGTTTATGGATTTTTAGATGTTGTTGATGAATTCCGTTTCACTAATTAAATCATATGCTATGTGTTTTCTTCCTTTGATTGATCACCTTAGGTTGTATGCATCTAGCTAAACTTGAGAAGTTGTGTAAGATACCCAAGAATATAATTTCTAATTAGCAATGAATGATTGAATCCTTTCTAAGTAAGCATCATGTGAATTGGTTTCTTGACAACAATTGATGAATTCCTCTTCACTAAAATAATCAATCCTTGATGTATGTTTTTCTTTGGTTGATCACCCTTGAAAGTATGCTTCTTGAGATTGTTGGGATTATATGTACCTTCATGTTTTCCTAAGCAACTAATGGATGAAGTAAGAATCATCCATGTGAATTGGTTTCTTGAATGCCTAATGTAAACACCATGCTATTAGGGTTCTTGTGATGGTCATATTCTCTTCAAACTTAATGGGTTTTTTCATATGATTAAATCGAAGTAGTAAGCACACCTAGATTTATTTTATGGGAAGCACGAGTATTGTAGCATTAAACACGCACCTTACTTATTTTAGAGAGAATCAATCACTACAACACAAAAACCCTTCTAGGACGTCTGATTTGCGTCATGGAAGGCATTTAATGATGCGGATCAGGCGTCGTAACCCGCGTCGTCGAAAGGGGGGGTCATGGAAACTTTTTCAAAACACGATGTCTATTCCGCATCATGGAATGAGGTTTCAATGACGCGGATAGCGTGTTGTGGTAACTTTTTCAAAACATGACGTCTGTTTCGCGTCATGGAATGCGATTTCAATGACGCGAATAGCAAAACATGAGATCTTTTCTGCGTCATGGAATGGGGTTTCAATGACGCGGACTTCGCATCATTGAACTTAACGACGCTGATGAGACGTCATTGAAATATTTTTCATGACACAATTTAGACGTCGTTGAAATTGTTTAATTTTTTTTTAATAAAAATTCATATATATATCCCATCATTTTAATTATGCAAAAAGAAATTAATATATAAAAGCAAAAATGAAGACACAAAGGCAAAGTACTCTAAATTATATTTCTATTATTCAAAATGATTCTAGTACATTAAAATTGTCTTTAACTAATCCCACAAAGTCAATCCTCTAAAGTTTGAGAAGATTTGATACTTGCACTATCCAAAACAAAGTAAGCATCCAAAAAGATTATCTCCATGATAGTTTGAGAGGATGTGATGCTTCATGTCCAAAAGTGGGTGTAAATGGTACTAAAATAATTACAAGCACACCTGCATTAAAACACAAGATCAGAAAATGAGACTGAAGGTCTAGAAATTACTAGAGCAAGTTTGTGCTCTGAATTTTCTATAAGCAGGGAAAGGCATCTCAGGTTGTGTTTAATATGAAGTGCGAAATTAAACTGTTATTTTTGTACGAATAGGCTAGAAGATTGGCTCGAAAAGCTATGAATCCCATCAAGTTTTAATCTTTATAAACCACCAATTAAATTGCGATTTGTCTTCCAAGAAACTATTTCAACAATACTTCTTATGACTTCTAAATTTATGTTGCAGACCTACAACATTAGGGGAAAAAAGGAAGGAAAAAAAAAGGAGAGAACCAAATGACTTGTTACGAACTACTTGAAAATAAAACCATCAATTGGAGATTAGCTGTGATCATGGAGAGATATTCTAAAGAATGAAAATGAAAAAAATGAGGAACTCACAAGAATTTAGTTGAATGAACAGCTTGAAACACATATCAATCAAAATATCAATGCTATTGTCAGCCAAGATTATCAATAATAGAGAGAGAGAGAGGACTAACAAATCAAACCTCAAAGCCCATCTCTGAAAAAATATCAGGCAGATTCATTCAAAATTTTAAGAACTTCTATAGTTAAATGCCAAGCTTAACTCACCTTCCTTAACTCGAAGCCCAGACTTTCTCATAGACCAAATAGAGTTTATGTGCACAAGGGATGTCTTCGTCCAGAATGTAGCAAGCTGGGTACCACAAATTAAAGAATCTACAAGTCACCATTTGTCTAAAAAAAACTTCTCTAACCAAATAGAGCATAATCATTTATTACATAACTATTTCAATACATAACTAGGCATTCTTGATGGTATAATTTACTAACACCACATGCACTGCATTAACCAAACAATAATGATATGCAAGCTGCAATAAAGACAGTCATGGACATACATTTTACAATTACAAGAGAGAAACTAACCATTTCGATGAACTAGTTCCATGAGTATGGTTTTATCCCAAGCTGCACTGCTTTTTCCTTCTCTTCCTCTGTTAATGAAGTGAAGCAAACCATAACTGCAAAACACAAGCAAGATTAGTACAAGGACTTCTAACAGCTGCTGGGAACATAGATTATAGTCTTTCTTACCTTTTAGAGTCGTTGAAGAGATCTAAAATCATAACCATCTAGTGCTTGTGAAACTGATCATGTGGAATATATGATTTGATAAAAACTCTTGACATCAATGGGCCGCTTCAAATACAAAACTAAAAGGATACATCTCATAGTTTCAAGAATGAAAAGTTACCGAAATCAGAATTCCAAGCTTCCCCTAAGAGTCATGAGAGCACACACAAAGACCTATACTTTATATTATATGTGCGAAAACAATTGGCTAGAAGGTCAGACATAAATTATGATGATTGAAGCACCTCCTCCTACTATCAAATTAAAAAGACCTATGCAAATTTGTAAAACCATATGTCAAATTAAAAAGATCAACTATGTTGTGACCCAGAAATTAGATATAACCTATACAACCGAGAAAATCCACAAAACTCATATAATCAATATAACCCGGAAAATCCAGATAGATTTAACCCCAAACACCAAAATAAAATAAAATTCAAATAAAAATAAAGTATTCGTACCAAAATGTGGAGCAGTCAGTGGTCATGGGGTGGTGGGGTTGATCCTTAGCTGCAGAGGAAGAGGAATTTAAAAAATCAAAAAGGAAAAATATTCAGATTCATAATTAAAATTGAGAGATGGATTCGACCAACAAAAAACAGAGAGAAGGAAACAGAGACGGGGAGAGAAAGAGGGAGCAAAAGAACTTGCAGACACAGCACCTGCCTACAACGCTCTTAGGTCAAACCTTTCGTCGAAGGAGGAAGAGAGAGAGAGAGAGTTTTAGGGTTTGGGTCTGGAGGAGGAAGGGAATGTTGTTTCGATTTGGGGCTGAGAGACAAGCGTGAAATTTTTGTTAGGGTGAGAGCGCGAGAGGGTTCCAGAGGGAATAAAGCGCGAAATTAGAATTTTTGTGAAAAAAAAGGTGCTATAGGAAAACATCTATGACGCACATTATGTGTCGTCGTATAAATATTTCATGACGTGTTGAAGACGTTGAATTTTTTTTTACACCTATGACGCATGTTCTGCGTCGTTGTATAAGTATTTCATGACGTGTAGAAGACGTCGTTAATTTAATAAAAATCTATGACGCAAGTCCTGCGTCGTCGTATAGGGTACATCTATGACTCAAGTCCTGCGTCGTCGTATAAGTACTTTATGACGTGTAGAAGACGTTGTTAAATTCACAATGTTAACAACGTATGATAGGCGTCGTCTGAATGTACTCAAATCAATGACACACATCCCGCGTCATTGAAAATTATTTTAATGACCCGTCAAGCAAATGTCGTGATAACGGTGTCATAAACTCACTTCAATGACGCATTTTAAAAACACGTCATAGTTTATCACATTTAATGACGTGTATTTTCGATGCGTCATTAAATTTGCGTCGTAAAAAGACTTTTTGTGTGTGTAGTGAATGCATCTTGAGCCACTAGCCCCGGTATTGATTGCGAACATTTTCATCAATGTGTCTAGAGCTTATTTGCTTTGAGTATTCAATAACATGAGTAAAATTTGTTCTTACATACTAGTGAATTTCTCGGGTGGATCACTAAGAGGACGTGGGCACGAGCCCGAACCTCTATAAATCTTTGTGTTATTGTGTATTTGTTTTCTCTCTTCAGTGTGCGTGTGTTTTATTCTCAAAGAGGTTTGTGTGTGTGCCATCGCATAGTCCATCAACGACAAGGTCTTTGAGTGTTTTCACACAACAAGATCTCCTCGGCTTAACCCTATAAAACTAGATCTGGTTAATGTTGGATGTAGTCTTGAGGCCGCGGATCCATTGGGCGTTGTTGGCTGCTAGAGAAAAAGAAAACCAGTAAAAGTTGTTTTGTATTTTGAATGATAATTTGTCTTCTTTGCTTTTCGCAAATTTTAATTTGGGGATTTTGGGGGGAGCTCTATCCCTTGGTAGTGCCTATGACTTTTGCTTATGATTGGTTTTAATAATACGAAACAATAATGAAATATGAAGCATTTCTCGTTATATTTAATCTAATTAAACATATTAATACACATAAATATAAAATATGGTAAATTTTCACTTTACTACCCGGAAGTTTCCTGAAATTCAGACTTTACTACACGAAGTTTTTTTCGTCTCAGGCTCATGCCTAAACTTTGATTTTACTACCACTTTCATATCTCCGTTAGTTTGACTATATCATGTTTTCCGTTAAACGATGACGTGGCATTCGTAGCTCCATGTCGACCCATTAAATTTGCGCCACGTGGACCAATAATTAAATAAATTATAATTTTTTTAAACAAATGAAAATAAAACAATTAAAACATAAAGAAAATATTTTAAATAATAAAACAACTCTCTTTCTACAACACCTCTCTTCCCGATTGTGATAGCTTAGAACCTTAACCCAAGAGCCCCTATCTGTGCCATGTTTCAATATGTGGACCTCGACTTTGCCCCCATGCCTCCTCCATCCACCTCTGCCTTTAAAGTCACTGCTCGACTGGTCGACGATTTGAAACCGTCGTCATCCCAAGTATCTCATCCCTCATTGTTCACGGAATTACCACCCTTCCTATCATCGTCGTCGCCATGTGCCAAAGGCAGCTTCGATTTCCCAAAACCTAGGCTCTCCTTCACGAGTGGTGGGTTGTTTTGTCAATTTCCTGAACCCGATGATTTCTTCTTGTTATTCTCCATGGTCAGAGGCGGAGCCAATGAAGGCCCACAAAGGTCAGCTGACCCTTTTGAAGTTCCATAAATAACCCTGCATTCATTACTATTTACCTTTTGTATATAATTTATTATTAAAATATGACCCTTCTGAACTTTCCTTTTTTCTTTTCTTTACTTTTTTTTAATAACTTAAAGAATTACTAACCTAACAGATAAAGTAGGCAACCGCTTAAATTAAACCTATTTTATTTCAAGTCTTCGTTGTGTCAATCATTCAATTTTTTTTTTCTCTTTGACTCTAAAGTTAATTCTCTATATGAATTCAACTTTGTTTCACTGAATTGTGACAATCAACCCAGTAAGTCTTTAACCCTAACAGTGTAATTTTTTTGTGGCGTAGTTTTTTTTTTTATATATAGTTTATTGTATTTTGTGGATTGTTAATTAATGATTTCTTTATTATCTCAAATCAAGAAATGTTTATATGATTTCTTTATCATCTAATTTTTGAAAATTTCTTTTGAAACAGTTATGGATAAATATTTTAAAAGAAAAGCGATAGATCAATTGTCACCTCCTCTAAGAACATATGCATTAAATCATGGTACTACAAAATGTTAATGTGAGGAAATCAATCGGGCTGATCTTCCTTCATATCTTGGGCTATGAACTCGAATTTTGGATTACAATCCTAGTGTCTAAGATAAGGTGCGCAGAGCTTATTTGTAAAGAGGTCATTGCCAACCTAAAAAACACAATTTCCCTCAGACGAATTTTAGCAATACAAGTCGAAGGTTTAACCTTGCTTGGTTTGATGAATATGCTACTTGGTTGGAGTATAGTATTGAAAAAGATGTTGCATATTCTCTATATTGTTATCTCTTCAAACTAAATAATGGAGAACAAGCTGGTGGTAATTCCTTTGTGGGTGAAGGGTTTAAAAATTGGAAGCAAAAAGAGAAGATAAAAATTCATGTTGGAGACACTAATAGTGCTCACAACCATGCTAGGCGAATGTGTGAAGCTCTATTAAATCAGAGGCAACATGTTGATACATTTTTTTTCAAACAGTCACTTGAAGATCGAAGTGATTATCGTATTCGGTTAAATGCATCAATTGACTGTATTTGATATCTTCTATGACAAGGGATGACATTTCGTGGTCATAATGAATATGATGATTCAAGTAACAAAGGTAACTTTCTTGAACTTTTGCATTGGTATTCTAATAGAAATTGTAATGACCCGGTCCTAAACTAATAATTATATACTAATTTATTAAAGAAAAAGACAATGTTACCCCGGAATATTTTAATAGGGTTACATGTTGACTTGTTGACCGGGGAGACTTTGGTGAAATTGTTACATCTTGGTCTGAAAAAGTGTGAAAATAATTAAAGTAAGAGTGAATGAATTTAAATGAGGAAATAAATTGAAATAAACATTAAAATAAAATGATTTAAATTAATTAAGGTTTTTGAGAAATTAAAATATTATTTAATATTATAAGGGGCAAAAAGGTCATTTTAAGTTTGGGAAGGAATTTAAGAATTTTGATTATACCCTTATGTAGAGCACGTCGAAATGAATCCGTAGACACGTAGTGGGCTCAAATCGGAGTTGTAACGAAGAAGTTACGATCAAAAGAAGTTCAATGGCATAACCGTAAATATTTCGAAATTCAGTTTTAAAACCCAGATTTTTCTTCCTCGCGAGCAGCTCGACCAGTCAAGTTCTGATCGCGATTTCTCCCAGCTCCGGTCTCTGTTTCAGGCAAGACCAGTCCCAAACGAACCACCACACTTCCCTCTTCCAAACCCAGCCCTTACCCGCCTCGATCTACCGCCGTAGTCACCGGAATCAGCCACGAATCAGGCGGTCTTGGACAGATTTTTATTAAACTTTCGTCGGCCGTTTCTCCCTCCTCCGGCCACCGTTTCAGGCGAGTGAGGTATGGTTTCTCACCTATTTTTCGTGATCTAGCTGATGGTTGGGTAGGATTGCGTCAATTTTGAGTGTAGGTAGTTCGATTTTCGAATTTAAGTTTGGCCGGACTTCCGGTTGAATTTCCGGCCACGTCCGGCCACTTTTTGGCCATAGCCCAAGAACAAAAGTGACTCCAAATTAGGTGTTTTACCTAGGATAGGAGTTTGGAGCCAAGATTCTAAGTCTTTCCGGCGAGTGGCTATCGCTTTGGACACCCAAGCGCTGCCGGTGCTTGTGGCGGCGCATGGGCACTGTAGCTGTTGGCTGCGCAAATCTCACGGCCTGGAGTTCCGGGCCGAGGGGATGTGCGTTAACACGTGACTTCCTACTTTGGGTGTGCCTGTTTGGGTTCGACTCCTAATCAAACGATTGTGGCCGAGAGAGGAACTGATCTCGGCCGTCAGGTTAACAGCTTGAGCTACAAGGCCGTTTAGTGGTGGTGTGGATGGTGGGTTTTGGGCGTTGCTCCGGCGCGTTGCTCAGTGAGCGACGGTCGTATGATATATGAGGTGAATGAATGAGTAACAGAGATGGTGCTCCGGCGCCTTGAAAATCAAGGGTCGTATGATATATTGATGATCGGATTTTCCTTACAAACTAACACTACTCCTAGGAAAGCAAGTAAAGATATAGAAAGTGCATTACAGAAAAATATAATTTGTTCCGTGGGAGGCTTTGGTTTGGTGTTTGAACCTTTTGAATGTAGCTTGAACTTGGTATTTATAGGAAGAGTTCTTGGAGGA